TCGTCCAGCCCAGATCCATGCGCGGCACTGAGTTGGAAGGGGAAACCGATACCACTATCGCTGCCACCCTACTTATACCCTGCTCCCAGCGCCGGCCAGGCCGCTCGCCATGACGCGCCGATGACGACCGCGTTTCCTGTTTTGGTGCGAAGCGCGGGTGCTGCCGGGCACAGAAGCCGCCCCCGTTGATCGCTGATCGCGCCAAGGGTGGGTCAGCTGAGCGGCGTCTCACGGGGGCGCGGCAGCGTCCGGCGATCGCCTTCTTTTCTTCGCGGGCTGGACACGACTGGCGCCGAGCCAGGATGGTGCTGTATAGCGCCCATGGTCAGGAACCACGTCTACTGTGCGGGAAGATGGGATAGATGGGGCATCGAAGGGCGTCAAAGTGGAGTGAGTCGTGTGGACTGGGAAACGCGGGTGCGTTATCAGACAATGGTTGCTTCACAATTGTTCATCGCACCTTTGGGATAGTTGATGCAATTGGGCTCTGAAGGCTGGAAGAAAGTTCTAGGGCGATGGAGCCTGAGCGTCACGGTGGGGGGATAGCGACCAAGTTGGAGTCGTACGATATGATGTTAGGCGTCGGACTCGGAGCTGGTCGCACTCGGGTTATTGATCGTCCGAGATAACCCGGCTCCGGAGGTCGGGCCTGAAGCCGAGCCACGGGCCCGCCGCCGCCGGGCTGATAAGCTGCCGCAGTCGCCGGCGCCGCCGGTGAAGGGAAGCACGACAATCCGTGTCTTTCCGTGTCCATAAACCTGGCTGGCGTAGCAACTGGCGGCGTTAGGAAGTGGCGAGAGAAGCGTTGTTCGGGCGTCGGCCCCGGTTGGAGTCGGCCGACAAGCAGGCAGATGGATGGCGACAGTCAATTGTTTGATAGAATGCAAGCGGTTGGGCTTCACGAAGATGCTCAGTGGCGGAAACATTAAGGTTCTCAGCGCTTCACAAGTAAAGTCCGCACGACCAGGCCCCGGAGCGCGAATGCGAGCCTAGAGTCCTGTTCTGCACCATCCGCTGTCGGGAAGCTCCCCCATCGAACTTCGATAGGGACTACTAGTAGTTCCAGCCTGGAACTACTAGTCGTCCCAAGAAGTCTACAATACTTAGCAGTAAGCCGTCGGGAGACAAAATAAGCACCCGTGTACTCACAGATAAGGTTTGCAGCATACAAGAATGGCCGCGCCGTACATGGGAGATTGCATTGTGCGATGTGCTCCCGCCACTGAGAACATCTGTCGGCCAGGAATAGTGGTAGTTCTCCTCACGGCTTCGCGCCAAATCTAGGCACCGTGGAGAACGTTGAGCTAGATGCTGGCCTCCCGATGAGGGCTCGTCTTGGTGACTTCCCTCTGGCGACGAAGCACGAACAGGAGCTGGATAACATACTTTGTGTAAGTCCCGCAATTATTTGTGCAGACTCACAAACAAAATGGTCGATCCTGCTTCATATTGGCAGAATCGGGGCCTACGAGATGGCATGCGAAGCGGAGAAGAGCCAAGGAGTTTGGCACACCAGAATGTTCGGTGTTCTCACTCCGTTCCTGGCTTCTCAGAGTCCGTGAGTGCGAGCCGTCAAGTGGCGTATTTTGAGAGAGCGCGCTGCCCAGAAGACGGCTTCGGACTACTCGTTTCGGTCTTTATCCGCCGTCGATCACAATAACCCGGGCCCCGACTTCTGGTCGAGGGCCAGGCTGCGCTATGAGCCACTGGTGCCGGCAACTCCAAGCCACCAAGGTTGAGGCGGAAATCCCGGGCCTCGAGCGGGAACAGGAGGACCGTAAGACGCAGAATCGAACTGGTGTGCGTTGTGAGTGGCGATAAATCATGTACCGTCGAGAAGACTCGGACGAGACGTTGTCGGCGTGTCGCCAGCAAGAGATTGGATCATTCGAGAACAACTCGAACGAGCGGATGGCAGGTGAAAGAGTGCTGGTAACAGGCCCGTGTCGCCCAGAGATAGCTCAGACGCAAAGCCTCGGAGTCGAAGATGAGGGTCGGGAACAACCCATAGCCGATGATGCTGATCTGTGACCCATTGCCATCGTCACATTCCGGATCATCGGACACGTGGCGCCCTTTTTCTGCAGTCAACCACGACCAGCGCTAGGCCATTCGACTTTCGGAGTTGTGCTCAAGTACCCATTGTTGTCTCCACCAAATCCGGGTGTCTCGTACACTTTGTCGCCACTGACGCCTGAGTACATTGTGTTTTGCCCCTTCCTCTCATTCGCATAACTGACCGACAAACAGACTTCGATCCAACAGCGATGTCCCCGCCCTCGTCATACACCAACCAGTTTTCCCTTCAAGCTCTAAAGCCGCTCTCAAGCCACTCAAGCTTCAGCTTCCCCACGCGACGCCATCTCCGCCGCCCAATGACGCGGCCGTGCAAGCAAACAGCTGACTGCTCAGCGTCTGTCGGCATCCTATTTAATCTTTGTTCTCTCCCCATGTCATGTCCACTACTCAAGACACTCAAGCTTCAGTCTTTCCACGCAAGGACATCTCCGCTGCCCAATGACGCACCCCGCACGAAGAACCAGCTAACCTCTCTGTTTCTGTCGGCATTCTATGGAATTTTTTTTCCCTCGCCATGTCCTGTCCATTGAGGAGGAAGGATGGCAGTCGCGACAGCGAAGACCACGACGACGACGTCATGGATGACGCCGCATCGTCTTTCGACTCGCCCGCTTCCGAGCTGTGGTATGCTTACCGCTTATTCGAAGTCATTGATGCCACGCAGGCTTGCCTCAGAGTCACGGTCTCTGCATGACGCGCTGCTGGCTCACGCTCCCTCTCACTGCCATACTAGAGCGGACAGCCAACCCACTAGTCCAGTCGACCACTTGCCTCTTGGTCCGTCTTCCGATCGTCTCAAGGATCGTCTACTTACCCTCCCTGTTTTCTCAGGCTCGTCTCGCAGCCCAATGCCACGTCAAACGGCTCCACAAATGCACGCACGCGCGCCCATTGGCCATCGCGCGCAGCTCGCCCACCAGAATCTGATGTCTTCCCGATTCTTCCCGGCCGCCCTGATGAACTCAGATCGGAGTCAAAAAAACAGCTCAGGCTATGCTCTGCACAACCATGCCTGCTCGACTACCCAAGCAGGCGCGCAAATCAGCCCGAGCACCCCATTCAATCGGATAAAAACTTGAACAACACATGCCCGAGTCCTTTCGTATGCTGAGCGCCCACCTCTGCGGGTTACACTAAGTTATGCATATGCACACACGCGGTCTGTCGACGGCGTCGTGCAGAGGGCTGGCGGGCGGCGCGACCGAAGGTGGCGGATCGTCATTGAGATGCGGGGATTTCCATGTAACCGCAAGCATGAGTAACACAACAATATCATGCTTGCAGCTTACCGACCTCAGGTTTAAGTTTTCGGCGTCGCCTATGTGTGGCACTACTTACTTCCCAGTTTGTGCAGCGATAATGGCGCACATTCGCCTTCCCACAGGCTCCACAGGGGAAGCATGGGATCGCCAGAGTGGGCTGTTCGCTCGCCCGCGTACGCATCGCGCACACCGGACCGGGGGCCGAGCCGATAGTGGTGCCCGGCGGTGTGTGCCAATACTAATGCAATTTAGACGCCCGAGATAAGCATGCGTGGAATTTGCGTGGAATCAACCTGGAATAATGGCTACCAGAAGGCGAAGATAAGCACCACAAGCGAAATGAAATCGCGAACGTGGAAGTCGTCAACGCGATGACGGATGAGGATGCGAAGGCGACAGCGTTGGGCGTTGGCGGATGCGCCTGCGAAGCTCAGGCAGACGCTCGCCGCGGCGGCGGACGATGACGCGCGCGCAGCGTCATTATCTTCATCGTCGCTACGGCGTGGGACTTCGGAGGAGATCGGGGCTGGGCCTCGCGTCGGCTTCGGCTTCGGCTTCGGCGCCGCCCCGCCCGGCCACCCAACAGCCCCCGAGCAGCGCGCGGTCTAGCCCGCCATTCGCCACCGCCATTGGCTCGCCGAAAGTGCTGGGCACCGATCTCGGCCTCTTCCAGGCACTTGCAGAACGTTCGACTGCGATCGATCACGGGCTGTCAGCGGGAAATGAAAAACGAAAAAGATGGGAGATCTTGGGTGACAGGCAGGGTCATGTGGTGCTGTTAGGGTTTTGACGGCGGGCGTGATGTCCGGCGGGCGATGCGCGATGGTTGCCGCAGCGGCGATAGCGACGGGGAGCAATGGTGCTGGGTGCTGAGACGGGAGGATAGAGGGAGGGAAGGAAATAAAATTGTCATTGGATTCCAAACGCGTTTTCACTGGACCTGCAATAACTTGAAGGACGTTACAAATAAACAGGGGGGATTGGATTTTCACACCCGCTAATCGGCGTGGCGTCGCCGTGGCCGATTACCCGCTGCGCAGGAGACACATACAGTACGACGGGAGGATCAGCGCCGATGATGGGAAGTTGAGACTCCGTCCGTGGGCTGATCCCGACGAGCATGTGCGAAATGCTAGACAGGTTAGCGTGGATGAATCGAGACACTAACCTAGGCGCCGCGCGCACGAGGCGCGTCAGGTGCAGCCGCCACCACGGGCATGGCCGATTGCTCGCGCAGGCACGCGGCGCAAATAGGGGGCCAAGAAGGAAGTCTTAGTCACTGCTCACCAACAGCCAACACCTGCCCTTTCTCCGAGTCTGCCCCAGAGGCTCTCCTCCCATCGTATGTCCAGCCCATGTGCGCGGAAGGGAAACGATAACACAATCTCTGCTGCCTACTTATACCTCGCAGCGCTGGCCAGTCTGCGGCCGCGCGCGATGACGATGACGCGCGGATGACGACGGCGTTTCCCGATTGGGCGCGAAGTCCGGGCGCACCCGGCGCAGAAGCCGCCCCCGTTGATTGCTGATCGCGCCAAGGGCGGTCGGCCGGGCGCCGTGCAGGCTGCACAAGATGGTCGGTGCCGGCCATGGGGAGGTGAGGCTGGTGGCGCAGGAACCGCCCCGACGGGAGATGGGGCGTTGGAGTGGAGTGGGAGCTTATTGCGGGTGCGTTATCAGGTCGATAAACCAACAGGGACTGCTTATCGCGCATTTGGGATAGAGCGGAGAAGACGCAGAGCGGGCGGTTCTGGGTTCTGGGACGGTGGGGCGTTGGGGCTGGGGCCACGAGGTCGGTGGACGCGGTGGTACGTAGACGGGTGCGATATGAGTTAGGGCGCGTCGGACTCGGCGCCGGTCGGCCGTGGACGCGGGCCATCCATCATGCATCGCGTAAACCCGGCCCCGGCGGTCGGGCCTGCACCCGGGCAGGCCGCCGCCGTCGGGGTGATAGCGACATATCATAGGCCGATAGTCGCCGGCGCCGGTGACGGGGCGCACGACAATCCTGGGTGTGGGCGTGTCTATTTCGTGGCGTCGGCGTTCGGACGTAGCGCGGGCGCTCGAGAACCAGGCGTCGAGAACCCATCGAGGCAGGGTGACTGTTGTGGCAGATTCCGGCGGCTTCGACGATAGATAGACGTAGATAAGCAGCAAGCCCGTTGACCGTCGGGCGGGGAGACAGCGTTGATAGGGAGGGATGTCCGATGCTTGTATGGCGGCGACCGAGTGGCAGGGTAGGTAGGCATTTGGCAGCTCGGATGTCGGGACGGACGCGTAGGTAATCGGCACTTGAAACGGGAGATAATGGCTTGCTATCGATGCACATGCATCGGGGAGATGAAAATTTCGCGTCGCGATATGGCGCGTCTTCTTGCTGGACATGGACATGGAAGCAGGCAGGAAGGACGGGTGGGAAGCCCGCGAGCTGCGCGGCGAAGAAGGCGCCGTGGGCGTGGGCTGCGACAGAAGGACGAATTCAGACTTCTGGTCCGCCTTCTGGGTTCTGGTGTGGGATGCATTCCAGCTTCGCCAATGATGGTGGCGGGAGCACTCCATTGTCTTGTCTGCCCACAATGGAGCGCCTGGGCGAGGGCGAGGAACGGGGGTGGCTGCTCGGCGGCGAACGTGTGTGGCTCGCTCGAAGCTTCGCGAAAAACCGGGATAAGGAATAGGGCCTGACAGCGAGGCGGTGTCGGGTGGGAACGCCGAGCGGAAGCGACGTCCCCAAAAAATTTCGTCCCTCCCTCCTCGCTCTCGTCCCTCCTCGCTCTCTTACCTCCTCATCAAGCAGCAGCAGCCACTCGCCCCCCCTTCGTCCCGCGATTGGCTGCCACGTCGCCCCGCCCAGCCGCGCCGCGCCGCGCCCAGATCCCGATCCCGATCGGGGCGGCTCGTAATGGCGCTGACACGCGTGGAGCGCTTACATACGTGCGTTTTTTCGCCAGATCGATCTGCCGATCTGGCAGACCCGTATTAACGGCCGGGCTGGCCCTGCGCTTTCCCTTTCACCACCACCCACCCCTGCCCGCCCTTCCCTCCACATCGACGTTCCGCGCCCCCGCTGTGCGCTGCCAGCGTCGACCCGCATACTATAGGTGCGCCCGTCCGCGACGGCGTTGACGTCAGTGCTGACGGTGGAGGGTGGCTAGTCAGTTGCTCCACAGCGTGCGATAAGGAGAGGATAGGATGCCCTACAGTGTACCTGTCGCCGGCGTCGCTGCGCCCCTCCCGCCCACACCCGCCCATGCCCCTGCCCCTTCCCACCACTCTCACTCCCACTCCCACCACACCCCCGCCCACCACGCCCACGGCCGCCCGGGCCACCGCCGCTCGTACACGTTCGACCAGGAGACAAGGGGCCCCGGCGCGTTCAGCAGCCTCGGCGTCCTCCCGCGGCGCACCCCGCCCACTTCAGCGAAACGATTCCACTTTCGGGCGGACGACGAGGACGGGAGCTCGTCGAGCAGCGACGAGCAGCCGGTGCTGTCGACGACGGCGACGACGGCGATGCCGGCCTGGGCACAGCCAGCGAAGGGGCGGGAGACGGACGAGGAGGACGGCCCGCCCCCGCCGCTCCGGCTGCGCCAGCTGCCCTCGTTTGGACTCGGCTTGGGTGCCAAGGCCTCGCCCCCGCGCTCGCCGCAGCGCTCGCCCAACTCGTCGTTCATCGGCGTGCCCTTCCCACGCTCCGGCTCCCCCCGCGCCCACCACCCCGCCGATCCCGGTCCGCCCCGCGCTGCCCGGGCGCGCGAGCAGCCAGCCCGTGATCCTGCTCGCGAACGGGAAGCCGCTCAAGTCGAGCCTCAAGTCGAGCCGCAGCGCGCCGCACGTGCCTTCCCACCACCTGCGGGCCCGCTCGGCGCCGTCCACGCCCGCGCTGTCCCCCTCGGGCACGGGCACGCCGGAAGAAGTGGAAGAGGAGCACGACCCCGCCGCGTTCGCTGCCGCGCTAGGCATGGAAGGCGAGTACGTCGAGAGCCCGAGCACCCCGAAGGCGGTGCACTTCCCGCCGCCGGACGACGGGCTCGAGACCGTGCGCGTGTTCAAGCGGACGGCACGGCCCGCGAGCGTGAGCTTCCCGCTCGGCGCGGAGGACGAGACCGAGACCGAGACCGAGACGGACAGCGGGGTCAGGTGGGTGTCCGCGGCTGTGGCGGGGAGTGGGAGGGAGGGCGGGAGGAGGACGGTGTCGAGCCCGTTGAACCCGAGTCCGAGGATGGCGGAGGAGAGGAAGGAGGGAGAGGAGTGGCGGTATGTTGTCGACGCGCCGGGGATCCCGCGGGCGAGGGACGGCGCGAGCATGGTTGTGCTGGAGAGCGTCAGCTTGGAGGTGTGTTGTTTCTTTCTCTCCGGTTTCGGGTGCTCACAAGGCACAGACGCCCCCCGGCGAGCTCCACCTGCGCGGCACGCTCCTCGTGCGCAACGCCGCGTTCGAGAAGCACGTGTTCGTGCGCTTCACGCTCGACGGGTGGCTCACCACGAGCGAGGTGGCCGCCAAGTACCTTGCATCCACGCCGTCCGGCGACCCCGGGCCGGGGTGGGACCGCTTCGGCTTCTCGATCCGCCTGACGGACTACGCGCACGTGCAGAAGGGCCGCGGGCTGGTGGGCCGCGAGCTCGAGATGGTGGCGCGGTTCTGCGTGCCGTGGGTCGCGGAGGGCGGGGCGGCGCCGTATGTGTGGTGTGGTGAGCACTGTTTTTCTGTCTGCTGATATCCGAGCAAGGCTGACGCGCGAGTAGATTCAGAAGAGCCGACAGAGAAGGAGAGGGAAAGAAGGTGGATGGGGACAGGCGCGCCTGGCCCGGGGGAGTGGTGGGATAATAACGGGGGGAAGAACTATCGCGTTGGGTTCCGGGCGGAGACGGCCACCGCGCCGGCCCCTGCGACCACCACGTCTCCCGCGCCCGGTCCGCCGCCGGCGTCCGCGCCGCCTTCTGTCCCGACGTCGACGATCCCGTTCCCACGCTCCTCGCCGCAGTCCGCATCGCCCCTCCAGCCCCACCTCACGCTCCCCGTGGCCATACCGCCGCCGCCGCCGCCCCCGCCACGGACGGCGCACGCCCAGGCGCTCGCGGCGAAGCTCGGCCGGCTGAGTCTGCGGAACTACGCCGCGCCGACACCTGCGCCGAGGCCGAGTTCGTGGGCGGGGTTCGTGCATTCGAGTCCGCCACGTGAGCAGTCGAGCCCGCCGCGGCTGTCGCCCCTGGTGATCAACGAGCCCCTGCCGGCTGCGAATGCCCAGGCGGGGGTCGGGCTGTACTGGCCGTGGGGCCGGACGGCGGTGGCCCCGGAAGTGGTTGTCACCGAGGTGCCCGAGGAGGACGAGTCGGACTCGGACCGCGAGGGAGATGGCAACTCGCTGCTGGCGGAGCGGCGGGAGGAGGAGACGCCGCCGACGTCGCCGCTCGGCGCGCGCGGGCTCGCGGGGCTGCTTGAGGCGGGCGACGGCGCGGGGAAGGCGGAGAAGGAGACGGAGACGGAGGTGCGCGGCCCGCCGACGGGCGCGGAGACGAGCAGCAGCGTGTACCGCGCGTTCGTGCAGCAGTGGTGCTTCGCGGGCGCGGGGTAGGCGGCGACATGATGACGAAGATGATGAAGATGACGACGAAAAAAAGGCCCCCGGCCACTGACTGACCCGCATACCTTCCTTTGGCTCCCCTTCTATGCGCATTTTGCTGTGTAAATCCCCCTCCGGTGTGTTATTGTTATATCCCCCACCCATTGTGTACCACCCCCCACTTTCGCGCTTCGTTTCGTTCTTGTACGATACAGATGCATACACGAGAAAGACCACCACGGACACGTAGATAGAGTGCGTATAGGTAGCTGGCGAATATAGAGTTGATTTGCGATTTTGGGGGCGTTTCAAGTTGAGTATGGTGCCAGGTGGGGCCGGACTGGGTTGGCGTAGAGCGCGAGCTGGATGCTGGTGGGTTAGCGACTGATAGCTCTGCCAGTGGTTGTCTGGTTTGAACTTGGAGAGGGACCGTACGCGTGACGCTGGCTGTTCGCCGCAGACGTGGGCGCGCAGCACATATATATGCAGTGATCCACTGAATTTTTCATTCAATTACCGTACTGGTGGGCATATATAGATTATTGCAGATATTATACCATACTTGCCAGTGCCGTAGGCGGGTGGTGTTCGCCGCTCGCATGGTCGTCGGTGGCCCCGGGCCCACCGTCCGTTCGGAGCGGGGCGCTGCGATTGGTCGAATCGCGACCGGATATGTATTTTTATTTCGTCCTCAGCCTCTGACGTGTTTACTTGCTTGAATACAAGGCAAGTACTTAGATGGTGATTAACTTGTTCCAGTTTTTTATCACTAGCACATTGAATTGAGGTGCTCAGGCTGATTTGCGGTGTGCGAATGCTTGGGTGGTCAGGCAGGCATTCTAATTTCTGAGTGTCGTGGTTTTCCGGAGCGTAACCTGCGATGTTTTTTTTTTTCACGCCGACTGGGAGCTGAGTTCACCTGGGCAGCTAGGGAAAAATCGGGAGCACATCAGATTCCGACCATGGCGGGCGCTGAGCTGCGCGCGATGGCCAATGGGCGCGCGTGCGTGCACTGCAAATGGCATTTGTGGAGCCATTTGACGTGACATTGTGCTGCGAGACGAGCCTGGGAGGACAGGGAAGGTAGATGATCGGAAGACGGACCGAGAGGCAAGCAAGTGGTCGACTGAGCTGGTTGTATCGGTTTTCTCCGCGGTTGCCTGAGCGGCATCGTTACCGGAGTCTGTGGAATGAATGAGAATCCCATCGAGCAAGGGATATCGAGCCAGGCACCGCGATCGAAGATGCAGGAGGAAGACCCCGAGCCTCGGATACCCCTCGGGGCCCGAGGGGTATCGAGTGTGACTCATGCGAATGCAGAGGAGTAATGAGGACATCTTGCGCCGTGCTTGCACGAGTCGCAACTTGCAAGGAGGTCCGTTGTGCTCCCGCTCCCGCTCCTCTTCAAGTCTCCCAGCCGGAATTATCGTGCTTGTCCGCTCTGGCTCTTTGTGTCATGCATCGCCCCGCGCTGTTCGTGCCGTGTCCTTCCTGTCGCCGTGTCCTCCCTGCCGCCCCTGTCCTCCCTGCCGCCCTGCCTTGATCGCCGTCCCCCTCTTGAAGCGCCAACCGCCCGGAGTCAGCGAAGCACGGCACACAGGTGCACCCAGCGGACAGCGCGGCATGCAGCTTGTCATCGGGGCCTGTAGCGCCATCTTCTGGTCTCGGTGGACCGGCGCCAGTTCGTTGAATGCCTCCGATAGCGCTAGGGGGCGAGGCTACGGCGACGAAACCGGTGGCAGTATGCACTACCTGGTCGGGTCGCGTCAGGCAAAAATGTTTGCAGCACCAGAGGCCGGGGATGCTTCATTTACCCTGGTAGTAAGCGGGGAGGAGAAGGCATTGAGAAGGGACCTGGCAAAGAAAGTCAGTCCCACGTCTGTCCGGCCACGGACCACCGTCCGAACACGTGTTGATGCCGAAGCTTCCAATGGCGCTTCTCCAACCCCACGATGCCTACATCCGCGTCCCGGGCTTGCCCCAGTGTGCCCTCGCAGATGAGCGGCGCGCCAACGGCGGAACGTATTGAGGTGTCTGCACACCTTGCTGACAAGTGCTGCGTGGCCAGTGTATTTTGCGATTGGATTTAGATGCATGTCATGGATGAATTGAATGTTTCCGCCAGACAGCGCCAAACTTTCACATGTCATATGGCTGATATAAAAGCCATGCTGGCAACCCCGTTCCTTGGCTTCCTCCGCCTGTGTCCTGTCTACCCCCCCCCCCCAGCATAAAGCTAGGAAAATGACAGCAGACTCTGACTCCATTGAGACAGATGCTACAGTCCAAGATACCAGTGCAGGGAGCTTCTTCTCTGGGGCCAGCAACTTCAGTATCACACACAGTAGCTTCACTGCCCACATCCATCCAGACCATGGCCAGTCTAACACAACAGCTATTGTTGGAGGTCAGCACCATCAGGATTGTGGATCTGACTATTGTACTAACTCCTTGCATTGCCAGCCAACTTTCGCCAAATTCGCTTAGGAGATATATACCTACAACAGGAATTGGCTTCCAACTCAAGCTCTCGGCCACGAAAGACCTATAAAGCACAACTGCATGGAAATACTGTGACAGCTTCTGTTTATCAGGGAAATTACATACAAAAGCAGGTAGACATATTCTTGCCCCATATATTTGAAGCTGACTTTTCAGAACTGGGAAAGGGAAGTGAAATTGATGCAGAAGATAAGGTAACACATAAATAAGCAAACAAGCAGAAAAAGCCAATTTTTTAAACTAGACATCCTCATGTGCAACAACTCTACGGAATTGTTAGTGCTGATGTACTCTATATGGCTGTCTATCACGGAGGTTAGTACAATGCAGTTCAGCAGTCAGTGTAAATGATGTTCTTTCTAGAACTTGTGGCAGAAGAGCAGCTACACCATTATCTGAATACAGAGGACAGGATTAAGATAGTTCTTCATGCTGTGAGCCTTAAATATCCAGGTGTTTATTCTATGCTTAAGAGAGATTTGGAATAGATATGTGCTTTCCCAGTGAGTAATTATACTTACTTGCTGGCCCTTTTTGTCTACAATAAGTAAAAGTCAGCTGCAAATGCTATGGGCTTTTACATGGGTTTTAATGAGGGGTGGGTGGTATGTTAATCTGTCTCACTTCTACTACTGCTATTGAAGCATTCTAGCCTACCCTCATTCAGTTTAATATAGCAACAAAACAGCTATCTCTTGGAATTAATGCCTCTCCTAAGGCTGATACATATAGAGAAGATCTCATGGATGAGTGTATACATTATCTGGGTCCTAACTGGATCCACGCACCACCATCATCTGGGGATTTGTCTACTCTATTTATGACAGTACCACCAGATGTGCTGATGTCTTCACTCCCTGTTTTTTCATATGGAATATATAGGGAAAATTTAACAGGATTTTGCCCCATGGAACACATGACTATTAAGAAAAATCCAGCTATCAATATCAACTATATCTGTGAGATTATGGCAATGTGTCCAATGCCCAAGTATATGAAGAAGTATAAATGGATAGGGTGTGATACACTGCATTCTTTGCCCAATGGATGGTCGTAGTAAGCTTTCATGATAGTGTCTTATGAGTGGAATACTTAGTGTGCTGTTAGCCTTCCTGTAGGACCAGATACATCTTGTGGAGACCACATTTTCTCTGGATCACCAGAATCGACAAACATGGAATATCCTGCTTACAGAATATGGCAAAGCCAACTTACATATTTCTACTCTTTATTGAATGTTCCTCTGGATCAGCATGAATATTATGGTAAGATCAACCATCACCTAAAAATTCAACCTGAGATAATTTATTTATGTAGCATTCATAACATTTCAACAATTCACTATTAAATTTACAACAACATCTTCTGGCTGCCCTAAGGGATTTCTTATACTGTGTCATGCAAACTATGCAATCTATGGTACTGGACAATCAGAGGATATTGCATTTTGGTCCCTGGATGCTGAGGGGAACCAGAGGTTGAATCCATCTGAAGCACTTGATCTTGGATTCCCTTCTCTCATTCTTGGTGACACATGTTTTATTGTGTCTGGAGGACAATCAGCTTATGATGAACTCTGCACTATACAAACTGCAAAGGGATATGACCCTACCACCCCAGACCTTGCAAAAAGCTTGAACTATCCCATTGTAGAATTAGTAGGAAAATACAAGAAATGTATGTAATCCTCAGCATTATCTAATTCAACCTAACATCTTTTAGCATTCTGGGAAGAGATGGGGGGTGAAGAAGGCTTGTTCTTGACTGAGCTTTTTGCACAAGACTGCAATATTCCAGGCCAAGTCATTCCTCCACAAGATGACCAGATGATGATGATGTATAGGGAGGCTCAAGTGCAAGAGCCTGCTGCCTATCCTAGACATGATCTGTATATCACTTTGGTCTTGGGCCTGATCCTTGTCCTAGTCTTTATAGAGCTTGTTTGAAATATGTATATGGAGTGAAACACATGAAACGAGTGCAATGGTGAATGCAGAAAGAACTCCACAAACAACCAAAACACCCAAATCAAGCTGTGTGTTCGGGGCTCCATGGAAAGTATACCTCGTCGTCATCATCTGGCATCGGTGCAGACATTGTCTTCAGCGCTTCGGAAGCTTTGGGCCCCGACGGGCTTTGAGGAGAATCAAAAGAGGGAGGTGCGAGCTGTTAGCAGTAGCGGGAAGAGCGGACGCGCGGTGATGCGCATCTCGCATGTGATTGCGGGACCGGCCGGAGCCCGGGTTAGGGCTGTGGCGGAGTGGCATATATATAGCGTGGTCTGCGTGCCTATCGGGCACGCTTTTATTTCCTCCTTTGTTCCCTTTGTACCCTCGAGTAGTGGTCAAGCTATTCGTCTGTTGGCACTCGATCGGGAGCGTGTGGCATGGTCTACAAGGGCTGATTTCTGACACGAACGTGGCCCTGAGAACACAGCGAGGCTCGGCAGTGCCAGTGGGCAGGACAGGCGCCCGGCGGTAAGTACTGCCAGCAGTGCACGGCGGCATGGCAATACGACTCCACGTGCACACACGCAAGGCGCAGCCAAACTTGAAGCCAAGTTGTCTGCCATCCGCTGTTCCTACCATAGACGCGTCTCGCAGGCTGCGGTCCGCACTATCGGTGGACGGCATGTCCGACGGGCCGCCATCGAATCAGATGCCTAGTTCGCAGGAGTGGGAGCAACAGTACTAGTGCGACGGTTTGATGCACGGTCTTCCAACGAGCGCCTGGCCATGGAGTGGCGGGCGAGGCAATGGGGCAGTGAGAAGATTGCGGGGAGAAGCAAAAAAGAAGCGACCTACGCCGGTGCATTGCCGCCCAGCGCACTGGGCACGTGCACCGAAGTAAGATACAAATTGAGGCTTTGCTTCCCGGCATGTGGTATGCCAACTCAACATACACTAAAATAGCTAATGAGAACTGGGAGATATCCTGGGGAAGAATGGTGTTTGTATGGCTGGTTTGCCAGACTAAGGTCTGGGAGTACTCTTACTGGCTGTATGGGCATTGTTTGCCATTAGTGAAATAACTGCCCTTTCCTTTGTTTGTTACTTTTCTTTTAAGCACATGGAGCATGCACCCTGGAGGAAAGGCCGCCTGTGGGGTAAGTGTGAAGTATGTGCAGGATTAGGTTGTCCTGTTATTGCTTAGTGGAGCATAGAGAAAGGGGGAGTGCACTTCCCATATACTTTCTTTGTGTGTTGGGTATCTGCTAGGCAAAATAACCATTTTTTTTGGTTAGCTGGTACTTTAGGGCCAGTCTTTCTTAATTTGTGCTATACTTTAGGGCCAGCTGCTTACTTAAGGGCCGGCTCCATAAAAGACTTATATATATAATAATATCTAATGCTGGCCCTAAAGACTGACTGAAGTAACAGACTAACTAAACTGAACTAACTGACTGAATGACTGAATGAATAAACTAACAAACTGAATGAACCAACTGACCGAGTTCACTGAGCTAACCCTAACCCTGACTGACTGACTGACTAACTGACTGACTTGACTGACTTCATAACAACTTTGTATTGACTATGGTTGACTCAGAAAATGCAAATTACTGACCCAACCCTGAGTTTTCAAAACAGTAATAGGGCTATATCTCAGTGAGTTCTTAGCCGTTCAGGATGGCTTATATATGAGCAGGAAGGTATTCAATGGGCCTACAAACTGGTCTTCAACATGAAGCCTGTTATATACAAAACCACAGACTTTTACTACAGAATACAATTCAAGCACCAGATTGTTCGCTTAATTACTGGATGGTTTCTGGTCTGTTCATTGAGAGTCATATATGGTTAGAAAGGCATTTCAGAGCTCTACAAACTTGGTTTCAACTCTAATGTGGTTGACTACAAAACCACTAAGTTTTACTACAAGTCAAGGTTTATTGAATTGACTTCAAAATTGAAAGTCAACCAAATGACTTCAAATTGCACCAGATTGTAGAGCTTCATTAGTTGAATAGGTGTTCAGTTTTGAGCCATTCAAAATTTCTAATGGTTGGCCCGCAAAATGCAAAATACTTGCAAAACATCGACTCTTTTAAGATTCATTTACTTTAGGGCCGGCCTGGTTAAAAACAGTATTAGCGTTATAACCTGATGAGTTTTCATCCGTTCAGGATGCTTTATATATCATTAGAGAGGTATTTGAAAGGACTACAAACTGGTCTTCAACTGAAATCTAGTTGACTACAAAACTACCAAGTTTCACTACAAGATACTCTGGCAGTTAATTTCAACTTGACCAAATAACTTCATATTGCACAAGCTTGTAGAGCTTCAAAAGTTAAACAAGTCTTCAGTTTGAACTAATACAAAGTTTCTTCTGGTTGGCTCACAAAACGTGAAATACTCGCGAAACATCGACTCTTTTGAGAATTGGTTACTTTAGGGCCGGCTTGGCTCAAAAGAGCATTAGCGCTATATCTCAGTGGTTTCTCATCCGTTTTAAACGGTTCAGATATCATTAGAGAGGTATTTTGGGGCTCTACAACTTGGCTTTCAACTGAAAACTAGTTGACTACAAAACCATCAAGTTTTACTACAAAACACTCTGGCAGTTAATATACATTACAAAAGTGAAAGTTAACCAAATGACTTCATTTTGGCTTAGGTTATAGAGCTTCATTCTTTGAGTAATTTCACAGTTTGGATCCTCAAAAAATTGTCACTGCTGGCTTACAAAACCACTTTAGGGCTGGCTTAGCTCAACCAGTATTAGCAGCACATCTTGGTGAGTTCATTAGGAAGGTACTCCAAATGCCTACAAACTGGTCTTCAACTGAAATATAGTTGATCACAAATCTACAGAGTTTTACTACAAACTACGCTGGCAGTTAATATTTGTGACAAAGTTGAAACTTCACCAAATGACTTGCATAAGTAGTCAACTACAAATTGTTGTGTATCCTCACACACCAAACCCGCTTGCCGTCACTTGCACGTCGTTTGGGGATGGAAGAGCTGGTGATGGCGACGCTGCAAACGTGAAGGTGAAGGATGGCAGCGAAGACCGTGAAGGTGACGACCAATGCTGGCAGGTCGACAACGGCTTGCACATTTGGGGCTGAGCGAATGGCGATGGCGAGCGCACTGGCGGACTTGGCCCCGTCCGAGAAACAAGTCGAGCTGCGACAGGCAACCACAAGGTGTGAGGACAACAACAAGGATGGCGGCAAACTCACGTTTCTACAAGGCTTGAGGCGGAAATATAAAACGGTCAACAAGCACACGCCTCTGTCTGCCGAAAGCATCAGCGGAAACGAGCAACCCAGCGCTTACCGCTCTCGCAGAGAATGCCCTTAACAGCAACGACACGCTCATGTGGCAGAGCGGCGCCAAAACGGCTGGGGATGACGCTGCCCGTAACCAGCCGCGTGAGCCGACTGGCGCAGTGGCGCACACCGAATTCAAGTTGTTCAAAGTGGCGTGGAGTCTTGTTGCCAGGGATGTTGCCCGAGAAATTCGAAGGAAATCCAGAAAGAATGGCACGGGCTGAGCCTCGACACAGTGGCGAGACGCGGGCCGAAGATGTGGAGGAGTGACGCACAAGATGCGCCATGACGCGAATAGCACTTGACTTGAGGCGAATCCACTCACCCTGGAGCTGCCCCCGCACGCGGCGTGCTCGATAACGCCCGCGTCGTTTCGCCCGAAACTCCGTGGAAGTGTACGCCACTCGCGGGCGCGATATCGTGGGGAACGGACAGGAGACGGCCGCGAACGGCCCGGGCCTCGACACAAGGCCGGCCAGGCCTCGCAGACCCCAGCGCGCGGTCGTTCCGCTTGAAGCTCGCTGGAGACCGAGGGGTACCTTGCCCCTTGTCACCCTGGAGGCTCCAAGCCGGACGCGCGAGAATTCGGCCCGCCGGCTTCGAGTCTGGCACAACCGCGGGCAGCGCAAGCCAAGTCGTTGGCCCGTCTTTCTAGCGAGTTAGAGGAACTATGAGGGCTTCAGCTGAACAAGCAACAGATGAGCTCGGCGCTCATCGATCTCGCGCAGAGCGCCGAAAGACGCCGGTCCTCGACACAAGGCCGGCCAGGCCTCGCAGACCCCAGCGCGCGGTCGTTCCGCTTGAAGCTCGCTGGAGACCGAGGGGTACCTTGCCCCTTGTCACCCTGGAGGCTCCAAGCCGGACGCGCGAGAATTCGGCCCGCCGGCTTCGAGTCTGGCACAACCGCGGGCAGCGCAGGCCCAGTCGTCGGCCCATTTTTCTCGGGAGTTGGAGGACCTATGAGGGCTTCAGCTGAACAAGCAACAAATGAGCTCGGCGCTCACCGATCTCGCGCAGAGCGCCGCCAACAGCGAGCGCGGCGTCGACCACCCATCGCAGAGCGCCGAAAGACACCGAGACATCTCGGATATGTCCCGCGTCTCTTCTGCCCAGAAGCTGGCCTTGGCATTCAAGTTGGCGCCAGCCTTGAGTCCTAGCCGGCGCTGACGACGCGCGAACCGGGTCGCTGGCGTGGGCGAATGAGTTGAGTGGCTCCCGTGAGCAGCGTGCCCACCCGGCGCTGGATGCGGCGCTTGCTGAGCGAGTCCGCAGCACAGGCTGGCTGCAACTTGTGTATTCGTGTCCCTGGTGAGTGTCTTCACGTTTTCCAAGTTTGCCGACCAGCTTCGGACGTCAGAGGCGTTCCGGGCAAGTGTAGACGGCAGCCGTGCGCTGGCCGATTCAGCGCCGGTGAGGGGCCGTGTTTTGGCGAAGAATGACCCCGACGACCCCAGATGTTGCGTGTGGCATTGTTGTCGCCTAGGATGCTGACGAACGAGAGTGCATTTCAAGTTGGCGGTGTGGCGCGGAGCGGGCCGCGCTGGCGCGTCGCAAGTGGCGGAGGAGACAGCGGTCCTTCCACATTCCATGCATCTCCAGCGGAAGCAAGGCGCGAGTTGGATCCGGCCCGCTGCACCGTTCTCCTCGCAAGCCACGGTGGCGGCCAACAGCGAGCTCGAGGGCGGAGTGCGGTGCACGTGGCTGCTGCGGTGCTCGCATATCCTTTGAGTTCAGCTCGGCGTTCAAGTTCGGTGTCCCCGCGGGACGCAGGGGTCCAAGAGGAGTGGTGGTGGTGGTGGTTGATAAAAAAGAAGCAGTGATAGGGATCCGGCATGCGGCGCCGAGGGCCGAGGGCCGAGGGCCGAGGCGGGTTCCCAAACAGCCTCAGGAAGTTTTTTCTTCCACGACGATGGACCGAACGGTTTTATGTAAAGGCTTCGCTCCACCACCACCCACCCCCTCCTCCTGCGCCGACGCCCGACGAGGAGGATACAGGTGCGCCTGCAAGCTGCGTGGTTGACGTCACTGCTGACGCTGGCTAAAGTTGCTCCACAGCTTGCGATAACGATACTGGATGCCCTACAGTGTCCCCGTCGCTGGCGTCGCTGCGCCCCTCCCGCCTACACCCGCCCATGCCCACCACGCCCACGGCTGCCCGGGCCACCGCCGCTCGTACACCTTCGACCAGGAGACAAGGGGGCCCGGCGCGTTCAGCAGCCTCGGCGTCCTCCCGCGGCGCACCCCGCCCACTTCGGCGAAACGATTCCACTTTAGGGCGGACGACGAGGACGGGAGCTCGTCCAGCAGCGACGAGCAGCCGGCGATGTCGACGACGGCGATGCCGGCCTGGGCACAGCCAGCAAAGGGGCGGGAGACAGACGAGGAGGACGGCCCGCCCCCGCCGCTACGGCTCCGCCAGCTGCCTTCGTTTTTGGGTGCCAAGGCCTCGCCCCCGCGCTCGCCGCAGCGCTCGCCCAACTCGTCGTTCATCGGCGTGCCCTTCCCGCGCTCCGGCTCCCCCGCGCCGACCACCCCGCCAATCCCGGTCCGCCCCGCGCTCCCCGGGCGCGCAAGCAGCCAGCCGGTCATATTGCTGGCCAACGGGAAGCCGCTCAAGTCGAGCCTGAAGTCGAGTCGCAGCGCGCCGCACGTGCCGTCCCACCATCTGCGGGCCCGCTCGGCGCCGTCCACGCCCGCGCTGTCCCCCTCGGGCACGGGCACGCCGGAGGAGCTAGAGGAGGAGCACGACCCCGCCGCGTTCGCCGCCGCCCTTGGCCTGGAAGGCGAGTACGTCGAGAGCCCGAGCACCCCGAAGGCGGTGCACTTCCCGCCGCCGGACGACGGGCTCGAGACCGTGCGCGTGTTCAAGAGGACGGCACGGCCCGCGAGCGTGAGCTTCCCGCTCGGCGCGGAGGACGAGACGGAGACCGAAACTGAGACGGACAGCGGCGTAAGGTGGGTGTCGAGCGCGGCGGCGGCGGCGGGGAGTGGGAGGGAGGGCGGCAGGCGGACGGTGTCGAGCCCGTTGAACCCGAGTCCGAGGATGGCGGAGGAGAGGAAGGAGGGAGAGGAGTGGCGGTATGTTGTGGACGCGCCGGGGATCCCGCGGGCGAGGGACGGCGCGAGCATGGTTGTGCTGGAGAGCGTCACGTTGGAGGTATGTTGTTTCTTTCTCTCCGGTTTCGGGTGCTCACGGGCCGCAGACGCCCCCCGGCGAGCTCCACCTGCGCGGCACGCTCCTCGTGCGGAACGCCGCGTTCGAGAAGCACGTGTTCGTGCGCTTCACGCTCGACGGGTGGCTCACCACGAGCGAGGTCGGCGCGCGCTACCTCGAATCCACCACGGCCAGCGATCCCGGGCCAGGGTGGGACCGCTTCGGCTTCTCGATCCGGTTAACCGACTACGCGCACGTGCAGAAGGGCCGCGGGCTGGTGGGCCGCGAGCTCGAGATGGTGGCGCGGTTCTGCGTGCCGTGGGTCGCGGAGGGCGGGGCGGCGCCGTATGTGTGGTGTGGTGAGCGTTCTTTCTGGCTGTTGATATCTGGAGGGGGCTGACGCGCGAGTAGATCCGGAGGAGCCGACAGAGAAGGGAGGAGAGAGACGGTGGCTGGGCACGGGCGCGCCCGGGCCGGGGGAGTGGTGGGATAATAACGGGGGGAAGAACTATCGCGTTGGGTTCCGGGCGGAGACGGCCACCGCGCCGGCCCCTGCGACCACCACGTCTCCCGCGCCCGGTCCGCCGCCGGCGTCCGCGCCGCCTTCTGTCCCGACGTCGACGATCCCGTTCCCGCGCTCCTCGCCGCAGTCCGCATCGCCGTTGCAACCCCACCTTACGCTCCCCGTGGCCATACCGCCGCCCCCGCCACGGACGGCACACGCCCAGGCGCTCGCGGCGAAGCTCGGCCGGCTGAGTCTGCGGAACTACGCCGCGCCGACACCTGCGCCGAGGCCGAGTTCGTGGGCGGGGTTCGTGCATTCGAGTCCGCCACGTGAGCAGTCGAGCCCGCCGCGGCTGTCGCCCCTGGTGATCAACGAGCCCCTGCCGGCTGCGAATGCCCAGGCGGGGGTCGGGCTGTACTGGCCGTGGGGCCGGACGGCGGTGGCCCCGGAAGTGGTTAGAGCGTCAGCTTGGAGGTGTGTTGTTTCTTTCTCTCCGGTTTCGGGTGCTCACAAGGCACAGACGCCCCCCGGCGAGCTCCACCTGCGCGGCACGCTCCTCGTGCGCAACGCCGCGTTCGAGAAGCACGTGTTCGTGCGCTTCACGCTCGACGGGTGGCTCACCACGAGCGAGGTGGCCGCCAAGTACCTTGCATCCACGCCGTCCGGCGACCCCGGGCCGGGGTGGGACCGCTTCGGCTTCTCGATCCGCCTGACGGACTACGCGCACGTGCAGAAGGGCCGCGGGCTGGTGGGCCGCGAGCTCGAGATGGTGGCGCGGTTCTGCGTGCCGTGGGTCGCGGAGGGCGGGGCGGCGCCGTATGTGTGGTGTGGTGAGCACTGTTTTTCTGTCTGCTGATATCCGAGCAAGGCTGACGCGCGAGTAGATTCAGAAGAGCCGACAGAGAAGGAGAGGGAAAGAAGGTGGATGGGGACAGGCGCGCCTGGCCCGGGGGAGTGGTGGGATAATAACGGGGGGAAGAACTATCGCGTTGGGTTCCGGGCGGAGACGGCCACCGCGCCGGCCCCTGCGACCACCACGTCTCCCGCGCCCGGTCCGCCGCCGGCGTCCGCGCCGCCTTCTGTCCCGACGTCGACGATCCCGTTCCCACGCTCCTCGCCGCAGTCCGCATCGCCCCTCCAGCCCCACCTCACGCTCCCCGTGGCCATACCGCCGCCGCCGCCGCCCCCGCCACGGACGGCGCACGCCCAGGCGCTCGCGGCGAAGCTCGGCCGGCTGAGTCTGCGGAACTACGCCGCGCCGACACCTGCGCCGAGGCCGAGTTCGTGGGCGGGGTTCGTGCATTCGAGTCCGCCACGTGAGCAGTCGAGCCCGCCGCGGCTGTCGCCCCTGGTGATCAACGAGCCCCTGCCGGCTGCGAATGCCCAGGCGGGGGTCGGGCTGTACTGGCCGTGGGGCCGGACGGCGGTGGCCCCGGAAGTGGTTGTCACCGAGGTGCCCGAGGAGGACGAGTCGGACTCGGACCGCGAGGGAGATGGCAACTCGCTGCTGGCGGAGCGGCGGGAGGAGGAGACGCCGCCGACGTCGCCGCTCGGCGCGCGCGGGCTCGCGGGGCTGCTTGAGGCGGGCGACGGCGCGGGGAAGGCGGAGAAGGAGACGGAGACGGAGGTGCGCGGCCCGCCGACGGGCGCGGAGACGAGCAGCAGCGTGTACCGCGCGTTCGTGCAGCAGTGGTGCTTCGCGGGCGCGGGGTAGGCGGCGACATGATGACGAAGATGATGAAGATGACGACGAAAAAAAGGCCCCCGGCCACTGACTGACCCGCATACCTTCCTTCCTTCCCTATGCGATTTTTGGCTGCATACATCGACCCCTGGTGTGTTATTGTTATATCCCCCCATCCATTGTGTACCACCCCCCACTTTTCGCGCTTCGTTTTGTTCTTGTACGATACAGATGCATACACGAGAAAGACCGCCATGGACACGTAGATAGAGTGCGTATAGGTAGCTGGCGAATATAGAGTTGATTTGCGATTTTGGGGGCGTTTCAAGTTGAGTTGAGTATGGTGCCAGTGGGGCCGGACTGGGTTGGCGTAGAGCGCGAGCTGGATGCTGGTGGGTTAGCGACTGATAGCTCTGCCAGTGGTTGTCTGGTTTGAACTTGGAGAGGGACCGTACGCGTGACGCTGGCCGTTCGCCGCAGACGTGGGCGCGCAGCACATATATATGCAGTGATCCACTGAATTTTTCATTCAATTACCGTACTGGTGGCCATATATAGATTATTGCAGATATTATACCATACTTGCCAGCGCTGTACGTGGGTGGTGTTACCGCTCGCATGGTCGTCGGTGGCCCCGGGCCCACCGTCCGTTCGGAGCGGGGCGCTGCGATTGGTCTAATCGCGACCGGATATGTATTTTTATTTCGTCCTCAGCCTCTGAATGCTGGCCCTAAAGACTGACTGAAGTAACAGACTAACTAAACTGAATGAACTGAACTAACTGACTGAATGAATGACTGACTGAATGAACTAAGTAACTAACTAGATTGACCGAGTTTACTGAGCTAACCCTAACCCTACTTTCTTCTTCTATTGACTTCTAACTGAATGAAGTAACAAACTGAGAACGTCTGAAGTCTAGGGAACAACGCCGTTGATGCCACTGATCTCGCTGATATTTGAAAGGGATTTATCGTAAAATTTTTCAAACTGGCAGGATGTACAATCTTGGGATATATGTAAGATATTTTCAGAGATCCCGAGATATTCTGAGCTATTTGAAGAAGTATATTTTGAAGAGAGTGTTAGAAGTAGGCATGCCATGATGCAGTGTGCAAAACTTTCAGGATATTTTTGCTAGCTTTGCCAGGATATCCTGAGAGCTGTTGAGAATACTTTGGGAAAGTTCTCAATGTTTTAAGCAAAGCTTTCAAGATATTCTCTCCAGCTTTACCAGGATATCCTGAGTAGCACGTGAGCACATGTATTCCACGTCACACATCAACTCGGCAACAAGGCGGGTTGCTTTCAACGCTCAAGCGCTCACCACCCACCAGCCACGCCCGCGCCAGCATGACGGGATCCCCCAACCATGGTACATCTCTCTTCATCATGCATGCCCCCCTTTCCCCCCATCTGCCCCCACAAAGACGATTCGCCCCTGGATCTCGCGTGCACCGCGTCCCCTCGCCTCCTAAATCGTGCCGTCCCCCCATTCGCTGACTTTTGCGCGTGTTTAGGCCCCTCCAAGCGCGGCCTGCGCTCAGGCAAGGAGTTTCGTGCCTATGACTTGGCTTTGGCAAATGCCGTCGCGCCGACTGCCCCCTTCTCCCTTCGCCTGTCGCCTCCAGCATCGTCCCTCGACCCCGACGCGCATGAGCCGGGTCAGCAAATTGTAGACCCCGACGTGGTCTCCATCCCGCCATTCCACGAGCCTCGATATGAGAAGGGGCCTTTCGATTTTGCGCCGCCCCGTTGCCACCCCCCCGTTGCCCGCAGGCCTTCCCGCCTCCGCCGCCCCGCCGGCCCTCACAAAAACGCAAAAGTGCAATGCACGGCGGCGCCATAAACGCGCTCGGGACGGCGATCCATCGGGCCTGAAGGAAGTAGTAAAGAAGCGCCGGCTGGAGGCTGTCCCTCACAGCAACATGGCTGACATCGACGCCAACGACCTGCCGCACTCGCGACCCGGCTATATCGGCGCCCGTAATGCACGCTATACCCCATGCGAAAAGCCCCAGCCTGAGCTCAAGGCCAGCAAAATCGCCAGCGACGACTCCAAAATCGCCAGCGACGACTCTGCCGCCTACGGCATGGTCGCCAAAACCCTGACCGAAGGGGACTTGGAGCAGATGGGTTGTCAAAACTTCATCGAAGTTCCCTGGGATGGACGGTGCGTGCTTTTTGTTCGTCGATTTCGAGCGCCTGACTATATGCCCCCTAGGCGCACGATACCCCTCGCAGACTCTGAAGGTCGCATATACGGCCTACTCGGTGGAACCCCTCGAGATAGCGGATGGGACAGCCTCGCGCAGTCCGCAAATGCCGCAGTTGAGCGCCAACACAGCCTCATCGACGTATCAACCCGCAAGCGCCGACATCGAAGGGCGAAGACGCAGTTCGCAGCCATAGCCCGAGGCGTTTCCCACGGAGGCGGGCAGACGGTAACGCTCCCCCTCCTACAGCTGGCTTGATATCTGACTGAGCTTCCAGGAGCCGGGTGTTCTGCATGAGAACGAAGCTAACACCCGAGCGACTAACGATCTGCTCCGGCACGAGTTTTTTGCCCGTGTCGCCGGCTTTGCTGCAGGTTGATCCGTTTCCTTATGTAAATTGTACCCTTGAAGCTGACCGCCCCTCGTTAGTGTTAATGGCGGTCTGGTCGCCAAAATTATTCGGCTACTACCAAATGATGCAAGCAGCACTTCTCTCGTGGAAGCCCAGCCTGCGAACGGGATGGCCGTTTGCTCGAAGCGTATTTGCCGCTTGCACCATCAATTTCAAGGCTGCTGTTTCATGTCGACATCTCGACTTCGGCAACCTTGCGTGGGGCTGGTGCGCCATCACTGCGCTTGGCAACTTCGACCCAGACCGCGGGGGGCATCTTATCCTTTGGGAAATGCGGCTCGTCATCCGCTTCCCGCCTGGCTCCACAATATTAATTCCGTCTGCCGCCATCCACCATTCGAACCGGTCGATTCAACCTGGAGAAACGAGGAGCTCCTTTGTTCAATATACTGCGGGTGGGCTATTTCGCTGGGTCGATAATGGGTGTAGGACCAACGCCGGGTTTGAGAGGTTTGCCTCGGAGCAAGAGAAGGCAAAACGGTCTACAGAGGCAGAACAACGTTGGGAGAATGGCGTTGCCATGTATAGCAAAGTGTAGCTGTCAATTTCAAGTTTGCTCTTTCTATGTTTTGTGATTATGCCGTTGTATTGCGCTTTTGTTCCTACTCCCTGCCTGGCTACATCTTGCACATTGGTCATATTGTCAGACACTTCTATGGCCTAACAGTTGACTCTTATACTTTCAAAAAATCTACCCATTGTTCCTCATCCCATACTCTAATGACAGTGGTATAATCTCTCTTTCAGCTCTACTCACCATTCTTTTGAACCCTATCTCTCCCTTCAATCAGGATGACATTCTCATTATCATGACTCACCAAACCACATCTGAACACAGTAGGTATGTGCTATAATCAATGACCCTCTCCTCTTTTTCTCTTTTTCTCTCCTTCTTAAGTGTTTGATTCCCCTGCGACATACACCATAAGCCCATCTCAAACACCACAACTTTATACAACTTGTGTTCCTATCTTTGACACCCAAACCACCTGTTAATCCCAATTATCTCTTCTAATTAGAATGGGCACCTAAGCCCACTGTCCATTCTTCCATTCTAATTAGAAGAGATGTCTCCAAACTCCCTATGCTGCAATAAAGGGGGCAATAAAACTGCAATATTTCTGAGACCCCAGGCTCTAAGTCATTTCTTGTGCTATCGCAAAAGGTCAGTGTGACATTTGTGACACGGCTGATACTAAAGGCTAGTAACTTGATGATAATCTATTACCTATAGTTCCCACACATCCTACCAAGTCCATACACTCTGTTACATAGTGTGATATGAGGTCACGAGCGTGACATAGTTCCCAAAAAGGAAATTTTCGCAGTTCAACAGCAGAATGATCAGAGTCGGGGATGTCTTGAAACTTATTGGAACTTTAATCATTCTCTCCAAACTGTCATACTCCTTAATATTGATGTTAATACAGTATGGGCCTTATCTGAAATTGCCTTAGCTAAATCAATTGACAACTTCAAGGGATTGACTTGGCCAGCTATTTCATTCTGGTTATTGAGAGTACTTCTCCTGCTCCTCAGTCAACCTTCTTTCCAACCTCATACATTTTACCCCACTCTATCACCCTCAAAAACAACATCAGCCTCCCAGTGTCTCTCTGGTACTTTTCACTCTGAACCAAGTTCCATTTCTTTGGATTCTCTCTTTGGTACTACTGGTAGCTTTCTTACTATTGAAAAGTCAGCCATTGGTATATTCTAATTGTCAGGGGAAACCCTGATGCTGTCACTTGATCCCATCAACCAGTGTGTCTCTGAGTCTCCACTTACATCTCTGCATCTCCACCCTGACACTCTCCCTCCCATCACAAAATTAGTTGGTTCATTATGACAGTTTTTGATGTGCACAAACCCTTGTGAGTATCTCACAAGCATACTGAAACCCTTGTCACTGGGTGCAAGGTGATCCTAAGTGGCTTATGAGCTGGTCATAAATTTTGTCAGAAGGATCAGTCTTATTATGGTTTGCAACCCCTTATAGCCACATGATTAGCCACTAAGTTTCACAAGTCACTGTGTCACACATTATCCAGAGTAGTATATAAGGAGTCCTGTAAATTTGATAGAACAACAAGGACCCCCCCTGGCTGGAGTCCAAGTTGGAAACAGAATTGAAGTCGGAGTCGGAGAGCACAGAAGGATGTTTGGGTGACTGGGGCTTCCAGTTGACCAAGAGGAGACAAGAGAAAAGAGCAGAGACGAGACGAGGCTGGGGAATAGAGACCAGCTGTCAGGGGAACCTCCCTTTCGGCCCCTCGGAGATGTCTCCAATTCTGGTCCGGCCCTCCATCCCGCCCCGCACGATCACCTATCCACCAACGCCCTCTCAATAGTCGTCCTGGGACCTTGCCTGCAACACTGTCCAGGCCTTCTGTGCCCAACAG